TTATTCTTATTCAAAACCTTCAGGCTAGAGCATATAAATCTCTTCTTCAAGATTTCCATGAAGAAAAGTTGTTTTAACATCTAGCTGCTCTAGATGTAAGTTCAATGTAGCACACATTGCCAAGAATACTTGAACTGTTGTTAGTCGAACCACAGGAGAAAATATTTAATTGAAATCAATACCTTCTTTTTGAGCATTTCATTTGACCACCAGTCTTGCACGATACCTCTCAACTCAATCGTCACCATTTCGCTTGATTTTGAAGACCCATTTGTTACCAATTGGCTTCCTTCCCTGTGGTAGTTGCACAAGGTCCCATATATTATTTTTATGAAGGGCTTCAATTTCTTCTTGCATCGTCATCATCCACAGTGAAGCATCTGAGTTGTTTATTGCCTCCTGGTATGTTGATGGCTCACTGTCCTCTGTTAAAAGGCAATATGCAATATTTCCTTCTATAACATAATCTGAGTGCCAATTGGGATGTCTTTTCACACGATCTGATTGACGAGTTGTTGGAGCTTCAAAATTATGTGGTTCTTGTTCATCATGTGTTGGTTCTGCTTCAGAAGAATCTCTTTGTTCAACCTCCGTTTCCATATATATCTGTGTAGTCTCTGACTTTTCATCGCTATCATCATTTTCGTTTCTTTATAGTTTATCTTATACAAAGATAACATCCCGCTGATGATCACTTTGCAGACAGTGGGATCCCACAAGTGATACCCCTTTACTCCATCAGCATATCCTAAGAATTAACATTTCCTGGATTTTAGATCCAGCTTTGAGATTTCTTGGGAGCTGTACATTACGTACACAATACTTCCAAATACATGGAGGTTTGAATAATCAATTGGTTTACCAGTCCACATCTCAATTGGTGTATTCAGCTCTATTGCAGTTGATGGAGCTCGATTCACCAAATAACAGGCGATATTGATTGTTTCTGCCCAAAATGATTTTTCTAGGCATGCAGTTCTCAGCATTGCTCTTGTTCTTTCTAACAAGGTTCTGCTCATCCGCTCTGCCACTCCATTTTGTTGAGGAGTGTTTGCCACTGTGAACTGTCTTTTGATGCCTTCTTTCATGCAAAAGTCATCAAATTATTCACTTGTGTATTCTCCTCCATTATCTGTTCTGAAACACTTGATATTATTTCCAGAATCAAGTTCCACCCGCGCTTTGAAGTTTTTAAAAGTGGAAAACATGTCTGACTTCTTCTTAATAGGGTACACCCAACATCTCTTGGAGTAGTCATCAATAAATGAGACAAAGTATTTTGCTCCGCCTAGGGATGTAACTGGTGCTTGCCATACGTCAGAGTGAACCAATTCTAAAACATTTTTGCCTCTAGAATTTGACGGGTTGAATTTCAACCGTTGCTGGTTACTTGTTATGCAATGCTCACACAAAGTAAGTGATACTTTTGTTAAGTCTAAAAGTAGCTTTTGCTCCACAAGGACTTCCATTCCTTGTTCTGACATGTGTCCAAGTTTCTGATGCCATAGCATTGCAGAATCTGAACTACATGAGGCAATATAGGATTCTGCTTCTAGCAAAGTCTCTCCCTTCAGCATGTACAAGTTTGTTGGTATCATTTCGCCTTTCATCACCACAAGTTCTCTATGGAAAACCTTCATGATTCCTTTCCGTGTTTCAATCTTGCTCGCATTATTATCCAACAATCCGTAGGATAATAAATTTTTCTTCAGGCCTTTCACATGCCGCACATCTCAAACAACTTTAATTGTTCCATCATATATCTTCAATTTGATGGTTCCCACGCCAACGATCTCTAAGGCATGATCATTGCAAGTATAGACAGATCCTCCTGAGACAGGTTCATAATGATGGAATCATTCTCTTCTTGAGGTCATGTGATATGTTTCTCCCGAATCAATGAGCCATATATCTGTAAAGCTTTTTCTACCTTCTACGGTGGTTGACGCTTCACAACATAGAGCATCTCCATCATCTGAAGTGTTTGCGGTATTGCCTTTTGGATTGGAGTTTTTATTTAGACTCCAACAATCATTCTTCAAGTGACCCTTCTTTCCACAGTTGTAGCACTTTAAATTCTTCTTACTTCTCGACTTTGATCTACCATGTTTGTGACTGCTACTTTGGCCACGTTCTGTTGATCTCCCTCTCATCGTTGTCAACGCTTCTGCTTGTTGCAGATTTACTTGTCTGTCTTCCTTGTTCTTGCGTCGATTTTCTTCTTGTAGAACAGCAGCTGCAACGCCATCGAAGACTAGACTGGTGATATTACTATTTGTCAAGTTGATGATGAGTTGATCATACGAATCAAGTAGACTTTGAAGTAGAAGTTCAACATGTTCTTGTTCTCATATTGTACATATTAAGGATGTAAGCTGAGAAAATAAAATGTTTAGCGTGTTTAAGTACTCCGTCACTGAAGTATATTTTGGCATACGGATAGTGTACAATTTCCTCTTAAAGAAAATTTTATTGTGCAACGATGTGGCCTCGTACAATTTGGTGAGATGATCTCATATCTCCTTAGCTATCTTCTTCTCCTTGATGCTTGACAATACTTCATCTGTTAATGCTAGATGAAAGTTTTCCATAGCATTCCCGTCTATTTCGATCCATTTGTTGTCATATGTGAAATCTACCAGCCTTTCACTGATAGCTGCTAGACAACCGTCTTTCCTCAGGATGACCTTCATCTTCAATTTTCACAATGATAAATTTCTCCCATTGAACTTTTCAATATCAAATTTCGTTGCTATAGCTTCTATTACTGATAGCTCGCACTATTTCACTATCGTGAATAGTTCTCTAGAACCTTCAAAGAATGTGTAATACCTTCTTACTTTCTTATGTTGGAGGATCCACCTTTTGGTGGCAACCACAAAGACAATAAGTAGATATTACATACTCTAATCTGACTTTAATACCAATTGTTGCGGAATACGGCTATCGGATAGAGCAAAACCGCAACTAATAATTTGAGAAAATAAAAATAAAGATAAAGAATACACAAATTTTACGTGAAAACCCCCTAAATAATATAGGATAAAAACCACGGACAACGGTAGAAGTATTTCACTATGAGAAAATAGGAATTACAACCTCTCTCGATCTATCAAGGAGAAAACAATGACAATTATCTCTTGATAAAAAGGAGAAAACAACTCTCAAGAAAACTCTCTAAATTCTCTAGTATTAGGAGAAAGCTAGAATGATTTGGGATGATTTTGAAGCTAAATGGGTTAGTGTATTTATAGTTGTAGCTTAATAACTAATTTTGTGAATAACCTAAAGTAAAATGATTAACATTGAGATTTTACCATTACCCAATTTCAACAAAAATTAGGTGTCTAATTTTTTACTTTGACTATGCACCATTCAGTCCCTAATTTGATTTGACTTTTAACATTGGGTTTCTTATTTTAGAAGGGACCATAACTGTAGGTTAAACGTGCAATTTTTTTTCTCACATACATGTGAGTTGAGCCCTTTATTGCACATGGGGTTAGGTTGCTTGAGTGTTAAATGCCATTACAAGACAACTCGTTGACCACGATTCTCTGAGATTTTTTTATATATATTGTTGATAATGCTGAGAAGGCAGATTAGGTGTTCTCGGCCTCTAGTCTTAATGAACTGACAGTAAGCTGCTGAGGTGTGGATTTTCTATTTGGAGATTTGATTGTATATTATAGTTTCTTGAGTGTGTCAATCAATAAGATAAAAGCTGAAGTTATGGCCATAAATAGGCAATTTGTTGTTCATTCGATCAGATTCTGAGCCGTGCACTGGGAGGAAAAACGGGTCGGGCCATCTCAGGATGGGACATCGGAATCACCACCGTTCATTTATCATCGTCCTCATCAAAACTCTTCTGATCCCTCAAAATCCCGACCAATCTTTCCATCATCGAGTGCCATCGAGACGAGGTTCAAATCCGGAAAACTCTTGATAAATCGTATGATACATGTTTCAAATTGTGGTTCAGAACATGTTTTCTTCTTCTTCTTCTTTATCTTGTTAAACAGGTACTGGAAGTTGCACCGGAAGCTGAAGTGATGGCATGGTCGGAGAAAACAGGGGTGGAGATGTTTAGATATGGGGATCATATTATGGGGATTCAAGGTCACCCTGAATACACCAATGACATTTTGCTTCACCTCATCGATCGTCTTTTGCACAAAAGTTTTATCGCGGTAAATTTACCATCTTCAGCTATAAACGTTGAATATGAGAATATGTTTAATATCGAATATGTTCAATTTTATTAAGATTTGTTTTGGTATATAAGTATGTCTCAAACATGAAATGAAGAGTCTGAATAATAAACATGATCACAATGAATATAAATATATAAATATGTGTTGAACATAAATGTTTGACAAAAAAAAAAGTTGGATTTAATGGTTTAAATGAAGAATTAGAGCATTGATAATGCAGGAATCATATGCTGAAGAGTTGAGAGCGAAGCTGGGGAAAGTTGAACCTGATAAAGATGCATGGAAGAAATTGTGCATTAGCTTTCTCAAGGGTAGATTACCATAAAATTTCTTCTTTTCGAAATTTAGGTTTAGTTTAACATTAAACCTTATATTATGTTCTAATTTTTACTTGGCCCCGTGCATAATATTTTTCTTAGTTACCATCTGTATTATCATTTTATTTCCAATGACCTCTATATTATTATCTTGTTATAAATATTTATTATTCATGGATGTTCGTTATAACTCTAAATTTTAGGTATTCAGATCGATTAAAATTAAAGGTTTTATATTATATATCTTCTATATCCCCAATTTGATTCTACAATATATTTGTTACATTAGTAGCTTCCTAGTTTACTATTGCTTTAACTCGGTCATAAAAGAAGAAGAGTAGAATGGATTTAAATTTGAATTCCAACATTTTAAAAATTACAAATATCCAATCTACATAGGCTAACAATATTTAATCAGAGCTTGTTTTTCCACAAACTGTACAAAGAGCAGAACAGTTAATTAAGGCTAGGTGATATTGACATCGGTGGGTGCGCCCTCCGTTTCCATGCACGACGAGTTATCGTCCGACATAAGATCATCGACACGAGCTCGCTTATCGACGGAGGTTCGGCAAATCGGACAATTTGAATGCGAATACATCCACATATCGATACAAGGAGCGTGGAACGAGTGCTTGCATCGGTGAAGCTGTCGAATCACTTCATCATCTTCGAACCCCAACAAGCACACCACGCACTCTACTCCATCTTCTCGCTCCGACTCAATCGTTCGGGGCAGCCCCAATTCCTTGCTGAACTTGAACGACGAAGCTGAATAAGGTCTCAGGTTCAACTGGCGGGTCTCTCTGGGAAGAGCTGACGATGATGGCCAATTTACGTACACGAGGAAGGTGAAAACGATGACTGCAATGGCGACGGTTCCGATTATTGGAATAAGAGCCCAATAGAATAAGTGCTGCATTGTTTTGAATGATACAGTGAAGAAGGCATCTAAAATAGCTTAAATATCAGGGAGAGAGAGAGAGAGAGGGTTTTGGAAAATGGCGGAAATTTCCACCATTTTGGCGGTGTCTTCTTCTTCTTTACATAAAACAGGATCACAGCCGCCAGACCAACAATGTCGACGGCATTTCATATATTTACTATGTTGTTCGTATATTTTTGGCTTTGTATAATAAAATTGTGTAGATTATTATTTTTTTTAAGTGTTTAATTTTTTTCCAGTTAATCTATATGTCTAACGTTACAAACGTTACTATTTTAAGTGTCTCAACCATAATGGACGTTAAAAATATTTGTTAAGTGACACGTATCACATTTATATATCTTTTAAGAAAAGTTTATTCGGATTAGATTTGGATATACTATTTACGTATAGATATAGTTTTCTCACGATGCTCAACTTTGATATACTATTGTTGGTGATTTTTCAGTAGCGATTCATTTGCCTATATTGTCATATTTGTTTGTATCTATATATTTTCGCGTTTTTTAAATGAGCATGTAACATTTTCTTTATATGGTTCTTATATGATATCAAGTGGCTAGTTTCTTGGGACAATGATCATAGAAAATGTGCTAATTATATATCTAGTGTATATTTATGATTGTAAACCTTTATTATAATTTTAGATATTTTTATTTTGATAATAAAACCAAAAAGTATTATATTTGTATAAACTTTTATATGTTGATAACTTATATAATACAAAGTTTATGGTATTTTCATCTTTGCGAGCCGATAGTCATTCTCACTTGCAACATGCATATTAAAGTTCAATATCTTTGGCGAGAAGCAAACGGCGCAGCTTGTATTTTGACACAGTGATCCTTAAACTTAAATTCATTAATGACATGTGCAATGAATGTTCTGATTGTATTTTAGACATTGTAGTCTACGAGGTCATTTTCAATTAATTAATACATTATTCGTATGTATTCAAAAAATAATTTGCTATATTATAATATTATTTGCCGAGTTATAAAATGCTTTAGTAATTTGTTCTTATGGTTTAAAATAGAGATATTTATAAATTGGATTGAATTTAAATAGAATTATGTACAATTTTACAAATGTTTAGTTTTAATTTTATTAGGTGAAATTTGATTTTGCTTAACTCAATTAATAATGATGCTGGGTTTAACTTCCCAAAATCAAACTATCATTTTTACTGCCGATACCATCTTATTTACCTTATAAGTTTAATTAAAGGTGATGAAATTTATCAAATTTAAATTTAAACTCCATTTAAAACTTACTTAGAATTCAATTTGAAGATGTTTTTTGTTGTTGTTATTGTTGTAACGAGAGTAAATAACAAATCAACAACTAATCTAGAATATCTATTAGTAGGGTTGTAAACGAGTCGTGTCAAGCTCGACTTAATTTTAAAATGGAGCTCGATTCGGTTTGAAAATTTGCGAGTCTAAAATTTTCAAGCTCGGATTGAATTCAAAGCCATGAATTGAAAATCGAAAAAGCTCAAAATAAAAGAGTTTTTAAACTTAATTGTGTTAAAGCTCAAACTTGAACATAAATTTTAAGTGCATTTATAATGTATTCTTTTAAAAAAGCAACACATAAATTTTAATATTATTAATAATTTAATTATTAAAAAAATAAAGTTTTAATATATTATTTTTCGAGTTGATCACGAGCTTTTCGAGTCGAGTATGAAGTAGTTCGTTTCTACTTGTTAAGAACTCGAATCAAGCTTGAGTTCGAGTCCGAGCTCAAGTCGAATATTTATCAAGCTTTGATCGAGTCAAACTCAAATAACTTGTAGCTCGTTTCTACTTGTTAAAAACTCGAATCGAGCTTGAGTTCGAGCTCGAGTCGAATATTTATAAAACTTTGATCGAGTCAAACTCAAATAACTTACAATCTGATTCGTCTCATTTACAACTCTATCAATTAGTTTCAATTATTATTTATCTTTCTCCTGATTTTTAAGCAACCTAAAGTTGCTCGTAAATTTCCCATAGTTCTAGTTCTAGAACAATGCATATACCTATTTGCCTTACATTATTATGAATCACTCCTCCACATGTAACCTCACCCGAGAGGTGAATATGTTTTTTTTTCCTTGTTTAGTCCCTAATTGCAAATTAATAATTTTGCGGATATCTTACATTTAAAATGAAATCGAGTAAAGAATAAAATGATATCATATTAACATGAAAAAACATAACAATTTCATGATGAATTTAAAATGAAAAGAGTCGGAATCCGTTCCGTACATGTAGACCTTTACTTTCTTTTGAAATTAAGATGACAATAATACCCATAATAGCATTTGATATTCACATGCAAACCAATGGAAACCACCTATCATAATTTGATTAATTAACTTTCCTCCCATAAAGGATTTACCACTTTCCTCTCTATTTTTCCGTCAAGCAAACAAAATAATTCACAGGAAAAAGGCGGAACAGAGAAATTCGGAAAACCCTAGAGAGAGAATGACGGAGAAATGGATGGCAACTCTACGGTGGCTGAACACAGCGGAGAAGCTACTCGCGTCACGCGACTTTCACGATACCAGAACCTTCGCTATCCGAGCTCGAGAATCGGCCCCCGTCCTTCGCTTTCCGGGAATGGTAAGAGTATGGGTGGTAATTTTCCCCGTTGGTCACCTATTTCCCCCATGTTTATTTGCTCTTACAACAAGAATGCAGGAAAAGAAAAGAATCCCAAAAAATCTGCTCCAAAAGTGTTTTATGATGAACATGATGTATATGTAGAGATTTCGGATTCGAGTATGAATTCTGAGGGAGACGATGAATGACAAAAAACAAACAAACAAAAGAACAATGTTAAAAAGGTGAAGGATTCATTTGGAGAAATGCAAAGAAACCGCGAAGTGATGAAGTGAAGAAGGGAAGTTATGAGTAATGACGACGCTTAATATTGGTCTTTCTGTTAAATTTAGTGAATTATTGGCAATTGAGAAGTTGTAGAACATTGGAGGCCATGGACGACAGAAACTACTTTTTGCTGGTTTCGGTCTTGTACTGTAATTTTGAAGTGCTATTTTGCTCGTGTACTGGTTTTGTTATTCGGCTGTGTTGTAGTTTATTTTCCATTGTAAATACTTCTTTGTTGTACATAATCTGTTCTCTATGATTTTGAGTTTTGATTAATGCCTTTATTCATTGTTGTTTTGCTGATAAGAAGTTATATGAGTTTTTGGAATTAAAAGATGTTATGATAGTTATCACACCAAGCGATGAATCCGCAACAATAACACTACATGGATGCAGTGCAGAACATGAATGAAATATAGCAAAATGGTTATACGATGTACATAAGCACTAAATTTATGAAACTATAGAGGCTTCTCAACAGCTAATGCCACTACCTCAAAATACAAACCGGCTTACAATCTATGGTCTGCACTATGAAACTTTGAATGTCGGCATTGAATCGGAATCATTAACGGATGCACGATATGCCCTTACAGATTGATAACCAAACCACTAGCAATACTAAACAAATAGCCGCATCTACGGCGAGAATGATCCGGACATGGTGACACCACTTTTTGTGGATGTTTTGAGAACCAGGCCTGGTCCTTGTTGAACCCAAGTCCTTTTGTAATGTTATTGACGAACTTGATCCGTTTTGGTTATTAGAATCTAATGCAGTCGGATCAATTTTCACTCCTCTATCTGTCGATTTCCGATGTTCCTCCAACTCGATATCTCTCACCACAAGCACATGATCCTTATTCTTCTTCTCGTGCTTGCTCTGTTTTCCCAACAATGGGGCTTTCGTGGAACTAGCAGCTTTGAGTTGGGCATTTGCATTGCTTGGAGATGGGGATAGACCTGCATAATCTGATAACGTAACCTCAGCTTTCCAATCATTGCCATTACTCGAAACTTGTTCTAGTGAAGTTATCAAGTGCCGGATAACCGGCACTAGTTGCTCTTCGACGCCCATTGAATTCATACTCGAGAAACTACTTCTCGAACCCTTTCTACTGACATTTCTAAATTCATCTCTCATGTGCTCAAGAAACCGAAGAACACCATGGTTTTCTACAGCTTCATCGGCAATTGCAAAATAAACACACCCGTCTTCGAACAAAAACCCGAAAGTCTTTTTACCTACCGTCTCGAAATACCATTTGTGGAACGACGGAGTCCTTTCCAAACACAAGGCAGCTATTTTTTCAATCTCATGATCTCCACCACTATATTCATAGAGAGTCCTGTTACCCTTCGAAACACAACAATAATGGACTGTATTCTGAATCGATCCCATCTTAGTTCAAACCTTCAACATCCAACTCGAATAAGGTTTCGATTTTGAACCCGAAGGTCATCAACAACACAAAAAAGAGGGACAAAGCTCTCAAGCAAAGCCTTAGAACGATTGAACTGAGCTCAAATCTTCAAAGTTCTAACTCGAATAAAGCTTTGGATTTCGAATCCGAAGTTGACAACAATCTAGGTAATAAAGATGAGGCAAAACAAGAGATGAATTAAGTCCTCGAGGATAGAAATTAGCACCTGGAAGAACAGAATTAAGTCCTCAGCAACAATGTCGAAAGCCTCGAGAAAATACTAACACAGATCTTCTGCTAAGTACTCAAAGTCAACAATAAAGTTCCTCATGCCTGTAACTTACTGAATACAATCAGTCGATCACAAATAATAGTCACAATATCATTGAAAATTCAATAGAATTCAGGGGCTAAAAGATAAATTAAAGTCAGAAATTTCAAAATCTATACTCTGGCAACACACTCTTAAAACTCAATTATTTAAACATAATATAATAAAAAGGCACGGTAAAAAAGTACCACACAAAGGAAACAAAACAAGACCCAGAAATAATTCTCAACCAAAATCAAAAGGTCAACTTAACTTCAAACATAATAGAACAATCGAACTGAAAAATGCTTTGATCTTTTCAGTCAATTTTGTTTGCTTCTAAGCAACAATCAATCAAGTAAAACAATTGAAAGGGTATTTCTTCTAATAACCAGAATCATAATTTGATTACCTGTGAATAAAATCTTCAGAAAAGTCTGGGACAATATTGAATCTTTGACATGGAGAAATAGAGAAGTGAGGGAAAGGCCTCGAGGGAGTTGAAATATGCTGAAAGAGAAGTTTATTGCTTTAAACACACTAAAATATGGGGAAAATAGAAAACCAAGTATTTTAAACTTGTACGAGTGACGTGATGGATTATGATTTGATGATTTATTTTCCCTTTTCTTGACTGCTTCAGACAATGTCGTGTTTCTTTATGAGCTTAAAAGAATACAAATATATAGAGACAGAGGAAAATATCCGACGTCTTTTAGTCATGTATATCGGTAATTTAAATAATTGCGGGAGAAAGCAGCTACAACATAACCAATTGTGGCAGCCAGAGGATTGAGAATCTCCCTTGGGCATCCACCTCCATAACCAACCATACTTTATATTATTTGTAATCATCATCCTAATACGTGCTTATTCACTCAAATAAACATAACTAATAGCCATAATTATAACTAAAATATAGAAATTAAATGACCATTCAGGCCCTAAGAGAAGCTGAGATTTAAAATACAATCTTCTTTTGTTATATGATTGGCTTAAAGTTGGTGAAAGCAATTGTTAAAGAAGAAAAAAACTATTTGCATGCTTATTCTATTGCTTTTACCCTTTTAACACTTGACCTACACAACAGCTAAAGAACATAATTCTCCATGCGCAATACTCTTTACCTATTTTATTATCTCTGCCTTTGTTCTTTAGCAATTCGTATCAAACTTAGACTAGGCAACAAGTAAGCATCTCATTCTCCATGCGCAATACTCTACCATGATAATCACTTGAAGTACTCCTTCATTCTGCATATAAAACTTTAAATTTACAACCTCAATGTTATCAGACCATTCCACTTTCTTTCTTTTTTTTGTCTTTGCTCCAACAAATGGTGCTTGACAATCTCAAGAGGGCCAAACGCCTAAGTAGTCATGATGTGTTTGCATTGAGTTATGATGATCTACCTTCCTATTTAAGACCATGTTTCCTTTATTTAAGTGTTTTTTTTCCAGAAGATTACGAGATACATGCAGATACGTTGATGCAATTACGGGTTGCAGAGGGCATTGTTTTATCAGAAGAGGATGGAGGGGGAATCTTGGAGGATGTTGGAGAGCGTCGGTTGATTTAACTTGTGGAAAGATGCATGGTTCAAGTTGGAAGAAGTCCGACCTTAAAGATTGAAACTTGTCGCATGCATGATCTGATGAGAGAGCTCTATTTGTTGATAGCAAAGAAAGAAAAATTTCTTTTGGATCACTGAAGATCCCTCATTAACTCCACCCAATAATCGAGCAGTTGGCAGAATTGTTGCCCACCAACACATTCTCTTTCGATACATAAAAAGTTCTCTCTGAGATCAATGTTGTTCTTTGCCAACCAGTTTGATTGTGATTTCATGTTTGAAGCATTTCTAAGCCCAAAGATGTTGAAAGTCGTATATTTTTTTCGACTTGAGTCTCTAACCGCTTGAAAAGTCGAGAGGAGTGGAAGGTGGAAGAAGCAACCATACCTACTCTACGCCATTTGAGGACTATAGATTGGAAGATACTGCCAGATGGATCGAGATTCATTACAACCCTAAAAAAATTAAAGATTCCAAAAGATAAAATGGAGGAATTAGAAGAAAAAGATTTTGACAAAGTTCAATATCTTCCTTCCATCATATTTTCAGACATAGTTTAAAGAGAATCATAATCTTTGGTTGTCAGATAAGTCTATAAAACTCTGTCTAAAACCTTGTTGTCTCAGTAAATGAAGTTGGCGACCATATTTTGCATAATGGGTTAATTATCTGTATATTTTACGTTTTATATTCAATGCCCATTATTTTACAATTGGGCTAAAAGCCCAGTATTTTATTTTCCCCCGGTTACTCTCTCTTACTTCTTTCCATAAACCCAAAACACCAAATTCGTCCTAACCCGAAAGTTACGGCGATGCTGCTCCGCGCCAATCTCCTCCGCCGCCTCTTACCTTCACAACAATCCGCCGCTGACTGCAGCAGCGGGCTTATAATCCCGGCCGTCCACCAGATCCGATCCCACTACATTTCAACCACTGAGTTATCAACAAGCGATGTCGGAAATAGTGAAAAGCAGAGGGAAAACAAATGGTTCACGCTACCCCCATTTGCTAAAACCATCAATGCCGCAGAATTGGGAGCTAAACTAGCCGGAAAAACCAATTTGAAATCCGCCTCTACCGCCGCCTCCACCTATGAAACGACGGCACTGAAGTGGGTTCTGAAATGCTGCCCGGAGCTGCCTAGAAGTCTAGTACAAAAATTATTTCGTTTAAGACAGGTTTTTGTTTTTGCTGCTGTTTATCGAATATTTTACTTGTTATATTGAAGTAGATAACTTTTCAATTCATTTTCACAGGTTCGAAGAGAATCCATAGGCAAAGAGGTTTCTCATGATGGTTGCCTTGCACAGAAGGTTCAGCTTAAAAGGGTAATTTTATTTGAATTTCCTCTGTCCGACGGAAGTATTATGTTCAATTTCCCCAATTTATATGCATTTGGAAGATCTCTAGTCGATAGTATTGCATCCCGTGTTTAGTTATGCATCGGATTATACAAGTACATTAAGGGAGATAATAATCGGAACAACATAGTTTATTTTCATGTGAAGGTTGGAGCTAAAGATTCGTTGAATGTTGGAGATAGAATTTTTCTTCCTATTAGTGTCCGAGAGTTTCCGGAGGAGAAACAAGAACATCGCTGCACCGATGAAGAATCAAACTTTATACGAAGCTTGGAGCTCTACAAGGTTCTCTTAAAGTGACTAACTTGGCTTAGTTAATATTAAGCTATCTTATATACTTATTTCCGAACTTATGATCCAGCTAGGATCCGGACATTATTGTTCTCAATAAGCCTCCAGGGATTCCAGTTCAGGTAATCCGTTGGATTTTTCTAATTTGTTGTTCCTCGTGGAATTTCTAGTATGTTGATTGATTTCACTTCTTTTTATATTGTTGAATTTATGTTTGAACTTCAAAACAGGGTGGCATTGGCATCAAATGGAGTTTAGATGAATTAGCAGCCGCCTGGTTATGTAATGATTACTCAGAACCGCCTCGCTTGGTTAGTGAAATTTGTTATTTGTTCATTTCTTGTGTCAAGGTCAAGTTGCATTGTAGATGCACTGTGACCTTAGATCTCGGGCTCATCATATTCCATAATCTGCACTTCTGTGTTAGAATAGACAAATTAGCATCTGTGTGGTTAGGTTATGATAGTTTGAAACCACCTCGCCTGGTAACTGGAAATATGCGAACCTTGTTAATTGTTCATTTGTTGGGTCGAAGTTGAGATCTGGTTCAGAATCCATAATCCATACCGCTAATAAGCAGTTGGATAGTAAAGAACCTTTTTTTTTCTTCATTTGACTAGGTAATTTTACAAGGGTATATATGCTTTTGTTAATTTTAGAAACAGATTTCTCTGTGAACATTCTTTTCCGTTAATTAGGTTCACAGGCTCGACAGAGATTGTAGTGGCATATTGGTGATGGGGAGAACTCAAACAAGTGCTGCAATTCTTCATTCTATATTCCGTGAGGAATCACTCGGTGCATCAAAACATGTGACATTCTTTTGTCTGAACTTTCTTTTCGTTTCGGAGCTCGTTATTCTAAGTAAAACAGCAATGTTTTTTGGTTTGGTTATGACTAACTTTAGTTCATTATGTCTACAAGGATTTTGATGATGAGAAAAGAGTTCTGCAAAAGAGGTATTGGGCGCTCGTTATCGGGTCTCCAAGGCGTCCTAAGGGAACGATATCAGCTCCGCTTAGAAAGGTTAGAATAATCTTAATTCTTGGTTGTCTTATTGTTCTAACTATTAAAATCATTAATCATTGTAGAAGTTTTGACATTTAAATTATATACATTTGCTAAACAATTCTCGGCTTGTTCTGGTTGTAGGTGGTGGTTGATGACGGGAAATCTGATCGAATCACTGTCTTTGACAATAACAAGATTATGTCATCTCAGAATGCAATAACAGAGTATCGTGTCATAAAAACATCATCACATGGTAAAATCATTGTAACGCCTATTTCATGCGATTATCATTGTCATTGCGGAATACATATGAAAGTGTTGTTCGGGTTATGACATTTATCATGTGTAAACTTTTCAAATTCAACTCTGGATTCTATACCTTCTTCTGCTGAGTGTTGCAGGGTACACATGGTTAGAATTGTCTCCTCTCACTGGTAGAAAGCACCAAGTATGTATAAAAAACCGAACGCTTTCATAAACTTTTGCCGTCTTTTTTCTAATTATTATATTCGTAAAATCACTTTCGATTTTGTGAATTTGTAGCTTCGAGTACACTGTGCTGAGGTACTAGGAACACCGGTTGTTGGAGACTACAAATATGGGTGGCAAGCTCATAGAAGGTTGCAACATCTGGCCGAGTCCGATCTTAGAAAGATCCTAAACAAAAAGGCGTCAAAGGAAAACATGCTCCCTTTTGGACTTGACATGGAGAGGGGAAGCATTTTGGAAAAGCGGCTTCAGCTGCATCTTCACTGTCGGGAAATGATCTTACCGAATGTCTCTAAAGCATTGCAAAATCCGGAATCGTTTTCGGGTGATGATCTTTCAAAGCTCAAGAGTCTGGAAATCGTTGCTCCATTGCCATCATACATGCAAAAGAGTTGGGACATTCTGGATTCGTGAGCAAAAAACCGGGATCTTGTAAATTTATAAGTTCTGCCATCAATTATTAGTTAGTAGTAGAAATATTTTTATGCCTTGCTTTGGAAGATTATCGAATCCCTTGATAATCAATTGTTAACAGTTAACAGAATTGTTCTGATTTTCATTATCATCTTTGTTATTGACGTTGTCATACAACTGAGCTGAGGAGAAGAAGCATTCGGAATCCGACCTGCAGGCGTGGATGCATACATTTCAGCAAAGGAAATTGGCGTAATGTTTTGATTATCAACACTTTCCATCGTTGAGAAGATTTCACGGCCTTCTACGGCGGCGATGCCATGAATCGTTGATTTGATTATCTGCCCATTGCTTGAATATCAAGTAAGGTGAGAGAGAGGGAATTACTGAAGTAATTTTTGGTTATCTGATTTTCTTTACCAGAGATACGACTAACATCAGCTTTTAAATCTAAAGAAATATTATTTTAGTTATTACGTGTAACCTATTTCTATTGTGGCTGTATAAGCTTTAGAATATTATATTGTTAGGTATGGCTCATAAATATACCAGTAAAGAGGACAGGAGATGGAGCGGAGTGAGCGAAGCGAACATCAACTGTCATTACAAAGAAAGTCTCGTTGTGGGGTTACGAATTATGTGGGTTGGGGGTGCGGGGGCGTAGCCCCGTGATACGGTACAGGGTTAATTTTGTAATTATGTACCAGGGTTTTCTATTATAAATAGAGATGTAACCTAGACCTAAAATATTCATTGAATAAAAACTTCTAGCGCCGCCTAGGCACCGAGGACGTAAGCACATTGCCGAACCTAGTAAAATTCTCGTGTTCTTTTGTTTTCTTTACCCGTTTTCGTCAACAATTGGTATCAGATGTCAGGAGCAAAATTCGAAGTCGCGAAATTCGATGGTCAGGGTAACTTCGGATTATGGCAAACGAGGGTGAAGGATCTATTGGCGCAGCAAGGGATCTTGAAGGCTTTGCGATCTACAAAGCCGACGTCGATGGATGAGGAAGATTGGGAAGAATTGCAGCAGCGAGCGGCAGGAACCATACGATTATGCTTGGCGGACGAGGTCATGTATCACGTCATGCATCTATCGTCTCCAGACGAAATTTGGAGGAAGTTGGAAAGTCAGTTTATGTCCAAATCCTTAACGACAAAACTGTATCTGAAGCAGCGGCTGTATGGGCTGAAGATGCAGGATGATCATGATTTGGCGCAACACGTGAATGTCTTCAATCAAATCGTTTCTGATCTGGCTCGGCTTGATGTGAAAATTGAGGATGAAGACAGAGCGATAATTCTATTGTGTTCGTTGCCTCCCTCTTACGAACACATGGTGACTACTCTTACATATGGGAAAGAGACTATCAATGTTGAGGAGATTACTACAGCCTTGTTGGCTCACAACCAGCGGAAGCAGAATGTAGGGGAAAGCTCTCAAGCCGATAGCTTATATGTCAAGGGTAATCGAGATCGTGGACGGAAGCCAGAGAAGGCAGGGTCCGGGAAGCGGAATTCCAGATCCAAATCCAGGGATAAGAAGACGATTCACTGTTACAAGTGCAAGGAGGCGGGACATATGAAGCGAGACTGTCCGAAGTTGAAAAAGCAGACTGATGAGAAGCGTGATGGCTCATCCAAGTCTGTGAACGTGGTCGAGGATGATAATTCTGATTGCAGTGAGGGTGATATGCTTTCTATTTCAACGACACAATTGACGGATGCTTGTATTCTTGATTCTGGATGTTCTTATCACATCACGCCAAATAGGGAATGGTTTTCGACATACAGGCCGGTTAATTCTGGTTCGGTTTATTTGGGTGATGATCGATGTTGCAATATTGTTGGTATTGGTGATGTCAGAATTAAGATGCACGATGGCTCCGTTCGGACGTTGAGTGGTGTTCGACATATCCCAGACTTGAAGAAGAATTTGATTTCCTTGTGCACTTTGCACAAGAATGGTTTTATCCCTAAGGCTGACGAGGATAGGGAAACCATTCGGATTGTTAAAGGAGCATTGACTGTGATGAAAGGCAAGATGACTGCAGGGAATATCTACAGATTGTTAGGGAGTACCGTTGCAGGTGGAGTTCACTCTGTTGAGTCCTGTGATGATACGACAAAATTGTGGCATATGCGTCTTGCTCATCTTAGTGAACGTGGTATGGCAGAATTACACAAGAGAAACTTGTTGCATGGTGTCAAAAGCTGTAAGCTCGACTTTTGCAAGTATTGTGTTCTTGGTAAACAGACTAAAGTCTGTTTCAAGACTGCGAAGCACACAACTCAATGGATTCTTGATTATGTGCATTCTGATGTATGGGGGCCTTCCACGACATCGTCTTTGGGTGGATCTAGGTACTATGTTACTTTTATTGATGATTTTTCACGGAAAGTTTGGGTGTATTTTTTGAAACAGAAATCTGAAGTTTTTGAGAAGTTCAAGCTGTGGAAAGCTGAGGTAGAAAACCAAACAGGACGAAAAATCAAGTGTTTGCGGTCTGACAATGGTACGGAGTACACAGATTCACAGTTCCTACAATTCTGTAAGGAGCATGGGATTCAGAGGCATTTTACAGTGCGCAAGACACCACAACAGAATGGTGTTGCGGAACGAATGAACAGGTCGTTGAATGAAAGAGCCAGATGTTTGCGGTTGAATGCGGGGCTTCCCAAACACTTCTGGGCTGAGGCTGTTAACATGGCGTGTTACCTTATCAACAGATCGCCAAGGGCATCGCTGGCTGGGAAAGTTGCAGAAGAGGTATGGACTGGTCATGATGTTAGTTTTGATAACTTACGGATTTTTGGTTGTCCTGCTTATGTGCATGTACCTGCTGATGAGAGATCCAAACTTGATGCAAAATCGAAGGAGTGCATTTTTTCTGGGTTACAAGAAAGGTGTCAAAGGATTCAAGTTCTGGGATCCAGTTGCGAAGAAAGTTGTGATTAGTAGAGATGTCGTTTTTGATGAACAATCCATGTTGCAGCAGAAGCAAGACACGACAGTGGTGGATTTCGAGCAGTTTCCAGTTGAGAAACCAGAAACTTCTCAACCGACTTCTGGTGGTTCCACTACGGATGATTTGCAGGATTATAGTCTCGCCAGAGACAGGGTGAAACGGACGAATATAAAGCCTCCGAACAGATTGGGTTTTGAAGACTTGGTATCTTTTGCACTTATTGTTAGCAGTGATGATCCGGTTACTTTTCATGATGACGTTACTAGTCAGGAAAACGACAAGTGGATGGCAGCCATGGTTGAGGAGATGGAGTCTTTGAATCACAATCGCACATGGGAGTTAGTTCCCCTTCCTGAGGGTAAGAAGTCGATTGGTTGCAAATGGGTGTATAAGAAGAAACCAGTAGTAACAGAAAAAGAGGGGGAGAAGTTCAAGGCTCGTTTGGTAGCGAAGGGTTTTTCATAGCAGAAAGGAGTTGATTATGATGAAATCTTTTCTCCTGTGGTCAGGCACACTTCAATCCGAGCAGTACTTGCATTGGTGGCTAGTTGGGATTTGCATTTAGAGCAGATGGATGTTAAAACTGTTTTTTTTGCATGGTGATTTAGAGGAGCAGGTCTACATGCGGCAACCTGAAGGTTTTACTCAACCTGGAAACGAGCATTTAGTTTGCAGATTGAAGAAATCTTTGTACGGGTTGAAACAGTCTCCGAGACAGTGGTATAAACGGTTTGACTCCTATATGATCAAGATTGGCTACAACCGATGTGAGTATGATTGTTGTGTCTATGTTAAGAGCCTTGATGATGGTTCTTTTATTTTTCTATTACTGTATGTTGATGATATGTTGATTGCTGCGAAGAACATGGATGATGTTATCGGTTTGAAAACTTTATTGAGTCAGGAATTTGATATGAAAGATTTAGGTGCTGCAAAGAAAATTCTTGGAATGGAAATTTGCAGGGACAGAGACTCAAGGAAACTGCGGCTATCTCAACGGGGTTATGTTGAGAAAATGCTAGAAAGGTTTGCGATGAGCAGCGCGAAACCAGTTAGCACTCCATTGGCGAATCACTTTAAGCTCTCATCAGAACAGTGCCCCAAGACAGATAAGGAAGCTGAAGATATGACAAAGGTTCCGTATTCTAATGCTGTTGGTTGCTTGATGTATGCGATGGTATGTACTCGTCCTGATTTAGCTCATGATGTTAGTCAAGTTTGTAAGTACATGTCTAAACCTGGTAAGCAACATTGGGAAGCAGTCAAGTGGATCTTTCGGTACTTAAAGGGTACTGTGGGACATGGAATTGTTTTTGGGAGTCAGCGGGATAATCCTTTGGTTGTAGGATATGTGGATTCAGACTATGCAGGTGACTTGGATAATAGAAGATCTACGACAGGGTATGTCTTTACTCTTGGTGGAGGGCCTATTTGTTGGAAGTCTACTGTTCAATCTATTGTGGCTCTATCTACAACTGAAGCTGAGTACATGGCAGCGACTGAAGCTGCAAAAGAAGCTTTATGGCTTACTGGTTTAGTGAAGGAGTTGGGTGTTCAACAAGGTGGAGTTCAGTTGCTTTGTGATAATCAAAGTGCTTTCACTTGGCTAAGAATCAGGTGTATCGTGCTAGAACTAAACATATTGATGTAAGGTTCCACAAGATCAGAGAGTTGGTTGCATCTGGAGAGGTTTTGTTTCAGAAGGTACATACTGATGAAAATGCCGCTAATATGTTCACTAAGCCAGTTACGACAGACAAGTTCAAGCATTGCTTGGACTTGTTGAATGTTTCGAGTTGTTAAAGAATCAAGGTAACCCAACCCACATTGAATTTTCAAGAGGCAGGATATTCGCCAAGGTGGAGATTTGTTAGGTATGGCTCATAAATATACCAGGGTTTTCTATTATAAATAGGGATGTAACCTAGACCTAAAATATTCATTGAATAAAAACTTCTAGCGCCGCCTAGGCACCGAGGACGTAAGCACATTACCGAACCTCGTAAAATTCTCGTGTTCTTTTGTTTTCTTTACCCGTTTTCGTCAACATATATGATATATTTCCTGTATCTTCTACTTCTAGTAGGGGTAGGGTCATACGAATGTGCTTCGGACATAAGTGTTCGACTCAAATACTTAAAAAATAATAATGAAGAGCTCCAGCAACTTATTCTGAATATTTAGTACTCAACTAAGCAGTAGATAGAGAAGCATGAAATAAAGGTGCAACAGTTGTGCATTATGATATCAAACCTTACCAGCCTTTTCTTTTTCTCTCAAACGATGTGCAATAGACAAATAATCTATTAATAAAAAATAAATTTTATTTTAAAATAAAATAATTCAAAAATTACAAAACATATACTATCAGTATCAGCTACAATTCCTAAATCTAAACACTCAAAAGTCTTGCGAATCATATTAGAAATTACTTAATTTATTCGCTAAAAATTCCAAAATACATTACAATTGCTGCTGGGAGAACATAGGATAATATATGAGCGCAAAAGAAAAGATACATAATCAAATACCATCTAAAAGCCATGCTGGTAATTTTTTACAACCGATGAGGCTTAAGAGCTCTGTAAGTTGTTGCAGATGGTGAAGAAGAAACAGTCGATTCTTCATCAGAATCCTCAGTCGATTTCCAAACATAATTTTCATCCCCATGTTTTCCCTTCATGCAAGGAACCAATTTGTACGTCTCTTTTCTCTCGCAGTTCCATTTTCTCGAGAAAAACGCAGCACAATCGGCTTTTGATCTTTGCTCCGGCAAGTCCAGAATGCAGTTCTTTCGAACGTCGAGTTTCTTCTTCGTTATCAAATCTCTGCAAGCAGGCCCGACTTGTGTGAAATAATTGTTCGACAAAGACAAATTCTCTAGCTTTGAAAGCTGGCAAACGATTTCAGGGACTTCGCCATAGAATTCATTGTTGGCTAAATTGAGCAACTCCATCTTTCTCAAGCACCCGAACGAGTACGGGATCGGTCCAGTTAGCTTGTTCGTCCCGACGTCGAACACGGTGGCTTGACTCAGGTTACCGATCTCGTACGGCAGGCAGCCGGAGAATGTGTTGTTGAGAAACAGCACTTCCAAGAGATTCGGAGCTCGGCCGATGCTCTTTGGGATCGGACCGGTGAAGAAGTTGTTCGCGAACGTTAGGTATAGTACAGGCGAGTCGCCGATGTTTTCCGGCAGCGGTTGTTGGAATTTGTTGTTGTTGATGAAGAGGACATCGAGGTCTAATTTGAACACCGATGACGGTACTGTCCCTTTGAAGTTGTTGAACCTTAGGTCGAGGAACGTTAAGTTCTTGGCGGCGATTACTTCCATGGGGAAATCACTTTCTAGCTTGTTGTTGCTGAGGTCGAGTTCGTACAAGAAGTTGATTTTCGAGACTCCGATGACCGGGACTTTGCCGGTGAAGCCGTTGGAATTGGCGTGGTAGATGGCTAAATCTTCGAGCCTGTCGATGAAATTGTTTAGCGGAAGGGAATCGTTTCTTATGCCGGTAAATTTGGCGCCGTTGAAGTCGACGGCGGCCACTGCTTTTTCGTTCACGTCGGGGCGGACGTCGCATTTGAAGCCGGTGTACTTGCAAACGTCGTTGCCCATCCATGTTTTCGTGAATTTGTTGGGTTGGACTGTCTTATTGAAATTCCGGATTACTATGAAAGCATTTGCAATCCGTCTGGTTTCGAAGCACCCGAATTTATTCCGGTAGCCACATCTAGTCGGTGATGGTGGTGGATGCGGAGGTCGAATTATTTTCGGTGGTCGTGGCGGATGCAATTGCGGAGGTGGAGGTGGAGGAGGAGGAGTATGTGATGGTGGGGGTGGGCATGGAGGAGGAGGAGGCGGAGGACAATCCTCACCGTCTGGAGACGGTGCGGGAGCTACGCCCCCGCCGCCGCCGCCAATAATTATCTCCAGCGCTTCCCTATTAGTCCCAATCAAAGGATGATGATCAGCATCATCGTCACTAGCCACCTCATGGGACAAACATGGATTGAAAATGGCAATCAATAATATGATTGATATTGAGAAAGAAAGATTATTACACATTGTGCCTCTCATGTCTTTTCTTAGACAATATTTGTCGAGGAAGTGCGGCAGATATATAAGAAAAACAGAAGGGGAAAACCATAATTGAGGGAAGTAAAGCTTTCAGTACATGGTAGGAGCCGAGTGTGCCTGTTGTCCCACTTCTTCTCTGAAAATTACATTTTTGTTAAGTACCTCTTGCTTTGTCACTTGATTCCTTCTATAGTTCCACTTTATAGCTTGCCTCTTCAATTATTCTCTCATAAATTATTCCATTTTTTGTTTTACATTCAATATTTTTAATATTACTAATTTTTTTAATTAAAATAATATTATAACTATATAATTATCATTAAATATCAAACGTAATATAGTAAGGATTTTAATCTTTACAAATTATAATTCTATCAAGATAATCTTAATTTTAAATAATTTAATAAATTAAATTTTTTATATTTAAAATTATTTATAATTGTTTGTTCTTCTCTAAAGTATATTATATTATTATACTATTATTTTTCAAGCATAATAACAATTTAAAAGTATCTTATTATTTTATAATAGAATATATCGAACAACTGCTTTGAATTTGGTCCAATCGTCTCATTTGGTTTGACGTTATTAAAAAAAAATTAAATTGATCATTTTTGAAATATAAATAATTAAATTATTTTAAATTATGATTAAATTAATAAAAGTATAATTTTTAAAAATTAATTAATTATTATATCAGTCAGTCTATTTCGATTATAATAACATAATAATTTATTTATAATAATACTTTAATTAAATAATCGACTTACGATATTTCACGTGCTTCTCTTACTAAAACCCCTTAAAACTCTTGGCAAGTTAATTTTTTTTAACCAAATTTCATTCATATGAAGCCAAGCAAAGTCGCCATAAAGGGTCACACCATTCATATGAGTGATGCTTTTTGAAAATGCTTTAGAGGCACATGCTTTCATAAAAAATAAAAAAAAAGGATAAATTATATTTTTTTTCTCATTGAATTATATTTTTTCTCTTATTTTTCTCATGTAACTTTTAATTTTTTTAATTTGCTCATTAAACTTTTAAAATTAACTCATTTTGTTCACTCTTTGTTATCTCTCTCATATTTTGATGACATGTCATTTTTTATTATTTTTTGATATAAAATACTTGAGAAAATAACAAAAAATTGAAGGTGGTTGGATGTCATTATCGGACACCGTCGATTACCGTAGAAGATGATTGTTCAGTCTCAAATTTCATGAGTCGCTCCACCTCGACACGTGATAATTTTCTAATATTCAGATAAATTTAATGATTTTTATAACGTCAAAGTGACAATTTTCTAATATTCAAATAAATTAAATGATTATTTTATAAGTTTTAAAAATTTTATGAGCAATATTACTGTTTAAACACAGTTCAATGACCTCAGTGTACTTTACCCTTAGAAGTTCACATGCAGAACAAACCCATGCGTCAATAATGCAGCAAAATACGTAGAGAATGTTCAAACCGTACCTAAAAGGTCATTGCTACAGTGCGTTGAAACGTAAACTAATCTCTTTTAAACGGTGGGCGATTGGCCGACGGGATGGCGCTGGGCCTGGGTTTGTTTTGTTTTTCTAATCTTGGTGCAAGGGTCAATCGGCCTATGGCCATGTGCATATTTTGTCATCTTTGATTTCCTATCTTGGTGTAGGGGTCAATTGGCCTATGGCCATGTGCATATTTTGTCGTCTTTGATTTCCTTGTCACGCATGATTAAAAATCAATTCAAATCGTAATATTGATTTAAAAGATTAAGATATTTATATAAATTATTTTCTTAAATTAAAAGATCAATTTGAGTAACTTTAATACTGACAGGGCCTAAAAAAGCAATAAATTTTGGGGGCCTCCCACATCCTATCACATGAATTGGGTACTGTACGCTAACCCCCAAGGCCCAAACACCTTCAACTTACGTAACACCAGTCTTGTATTTCTCCTCCTATCGTTTTTTTAGCTTCAATTTTCGCAATCCTACGGTTCAGGTTCTTGCCTAGTCTCCATACAAGGTAAGATCATCGCCGTAGACCTTAATATCTTCAATCCAATCTTTTCATATAGGCTCTTTCAATCTCTAGGTTTTTTAAGTGTCTCTTTTCTGTGATCGTCTTTGATAATTTCGTTTAATTGGGACCTGAAATTGTGATTCCATTTTGATTACATGCTGAAGACTGAATTGTAAATCTATTTGTTAATTAGGTACTAATCAGTGACTATTTTATGTTTAATTAGCTACTAACCAGACCTTCAAGCAGATAGTTTGTTAGTTACATATTGTGTTTCAAGCAACTAATTAGCTGAACCTAGACATTATGCTTCCAGCTATAATTAGGGCCGTAAAATCAGGTAATCGATCAGGTTTCAGTCGGATCTTGGCAGGTCGGGTAAAATCGGGTACAGGTCAATTCAAGTTGATTTGACACCAGATCCAGATCGGGTTCAGGCCGGGTCATTTTCAGTTCGGATCGATGTCAGTTCAGGTAAAAACAATTCAGGTCCGAAGCAGATAAAGACCAGGTTAATTCAGGTTCGGGTTGACTTCAGTCGGATCTCGTTCAGATCGGGTCACATCATTGACAGATAAAATTCAGGTTGGATGTTTATCAGATACGGATTGAGTTCAGGTCGTGTCGTTTTTATTTTTTTTGGATTAATTATTTTGTCATATTTCGTGATTGTTGAATTGAAAGTTGTAATTGTATATGATTTTGAGAAAAATAAGAGAAAAATAAATATTCATGGATCAATTTTGAAAAAAAAATAAAATTAATGAAAAAATTGAAGAAATGTAAAATTACAAATAAAATCTTAAAATATAAATTAAACAACACACATAGGTAAGGGATTAAATTGAAATAAATTTAAAATGTGAGGTTTAAATTAATATAAAAAATGACTAATTTGAACACATTTAAAAAATTATGGGCAAGTTACAAAAATATGAATAAATAACAACTAACAATGGAATATGCAAATATAAATTTAGTGACCAATTTGAATACATATAAAAGTTAAAGACTTAAAATTGAAATAAATTAAAAATACAAAAAGGTTAAATCGAAATAAATACAAAATGTGAAGAAATAATGAAAAATATGCTAACTTGCATTCATTCAAAAAATTTAAAAAATATAATATATATATATATAATATAAATTTATATATAAACTATATTTATATTATAAACTATATAATTATTATAAACTGTATAATTATTATAAACCATATATATAAATTATATTTATATGCACTATATATATAAACTATGTATATAAAATTATAAACTATATTTATATTATAAACTATATAATTATTATAAGATATATATATATATATTATGTTTATGTGAACTGTATATATAAACTATGTATATAAACTATATATGTATAAACTATTTAAAATATATAGTTTATATGTTATAATTTATATTAATATAGTATATATATGTATGTATAACTAATATATATATATATATATATATATATATATATATATATATATATATATATAGAAACACTATGCATAAACAATATAAAGTAATAAATTATATAGTTTATAAAAACCCTATAGTCTATAAACAATAGTTAATATATGTAACTTATAGTACATGTATGTATAAACTATGTATACTATATATATAAACCATATAAAGTAAATTACTTATATAATGTATAGAAACAATATGCATAAACTATATAAATTAATAAAATATATAGTTTATAAAAAAAAAACCCAAACCCAAACCCTAAACCCAAACCCTAAACCCTCAACCTAGACTTTAAACCCTAAATCAATCCATAAGTCCTAAAACCCTAAACCTTAAATCTTGAACTGTATACATAGCTACATGTATATATAAACTATGTATAGTATATATATATATATATATATATATATATATATATATATATATATCGTTAAACATAAGTGGCTAAAATAAAAGATTCTAAAATTAACATTAACATTTAATAATTATGTACATTAAAGAAAGAAGATAAAATTAAAAATAATTAGAATTATATATACATGACTAAATTCTATTGAATGAAAAAATCAATAACTGATTTACAATTAAACCATGACTGAAATGAAAAAACTCAAAAATTAAATAATAAAATAAAAAATTCTGATTGATGAAGGATTGAGGGCCTAATTAACCCAATCCATTTCATTGGGCACTAAATCTTCCCGCTAGACCCAAAATTCCCAAAAATTAAAAAATTCTTTTTACTTAAGATTTATAAATGGGTAAATTTGAACCGTAGCTAATTGAGGTATGGACAGCTAAGTTTTTATCAAATGTTTGATCCGTGGGCGATGGAAAACAACCAATAACATTCGTTCTATTAAGCGGCTTTTCACTGTTATTGCTGAGGACTGCAAGATACAATGTCAGCCGTCCGATGACTGAATCATAAATGCCAATCCGTGGGTTATCCATCAAACCAATGGGATTCACCCACATATTTCACATAATTCTTTTTCTAATTGAATTGAATTCACAAACTAATTTTATTTTTCCAAAGAGAAACAGATGATAATCATCGTCCATTTAAAATATTATATAGTTTATATATACAAATATATATAGTATATATGGTTTAGGATTTATGGTTTATGGTTTAGGATTTAGGGTTTATGGTTTAATGTTTAATGTTTAGGGTTTAGGGTTTATATTTATATTTATATAAACTACATACTATAATTTACATTTGTATACTATATTTTATATTATTTATATAAACTATAGTTTATATTTATATACTATATATATGAACTATATTTTACATATAAACTATATAGTTTATATACTAACTATAGTTTACATATAAATTATAGTTAATATTTACATATGAACTATATTTTACATATGAACTATATATATAAACTATATAGTTTACATATGATATATATATATATATATATATACTATAGTTGATATTTATATACTATATAATTTACATATGACCTATATATACTATAGTTTATATTTATATACTATATATTATATATATAAACTATATATACTATATAGTATAATTTACATATGAACTATATATAAAAACCCTAAACCCTAAACTATACATTATATAGTTTATCAGTGTATATAAACTATACATTATATGTAGTTCATTAGTATATATAAACTATATATTATATAGTTCATTAATATATATAAACTATATAGTGTATATAAACTGTATATTAATTTATTAATATAAACATATATATTAATTGAAAGAATTGAAAAATATATAAGGATCAAATTGAACAAATTTTAAATATGAAGCTTAAACTAATAAATTATAACATTAAATTTGGATTAAATTGAAAAAAGTTGAAATATGTAGCTTAAATTAATATATTAAATCATTAAATTTGGACTCAATTGAATAAATTAAAAACTAAGAGACAAAACTACAATGTCAAATGAAGTTAAAAAACACGCGGGTTTTCTACCTAAAATCAGCATCATTTCCCGCCTGATGATTTTAACATAACTATGGCTTCCGATTCTCCTTCCTTTCTTGCTTTTCACTCTGTTTGGTTGGTGAGAAAGCTTAGGAAGAGAACTTGGAAACTGAAATTAAAAGAAACTTATATAGGTTCTACTTAAAAGTTCTTTGATTTCCTTAAACGTTTTTGGAGTTCCTAAACTCTTTTTTCTCAGTAATCATATATATCAGTCTATGTTATACTTGTTTTTTAATCTATTATCAGCAGAAAGTTTTAGTTTTTGATTCGTAATAATTAATAAGTTTTTGTCCAATGCTAATCAGATCAAGTATATCACAAGCTTTAGGAAAATTATTGGTTTCCTTTTTTATTGAATTTTGTTTCTGGGGATATTTCCAATTTGTTTCCTTCTATGGTCATGTGAATTGGAGCAGTTTTGGTATAAGACCAATCAGAAAGTTGTATTTGTCCTGTTTATCAGTTTTGACATTTATTCCATTTCCTGTGAAAAATGTCATGAAAGTTCTAAACTTTACCTTCTAGTTTTAGTTTAAATAACACTATTTGACTCTGAATTGCATTACAGATTTTAAATTTTACTCATTTGACCCCAGAATTGTCTTTGTAGTTGTTTCAATGGACTGGAGGCTTGAATAGCAAATAACAAAAGGAGTAGATATGAGAGGAGAGTCATCTGGTTTGATCATTGGGATTTCTATAGGAGTGGTGATCGGTGTGCTTTTAGCTATTTTTGCACTCATTTGTATCAGGTATCATAGAAAGAGATCTCAGATAGGAAACAGCAGTTCCAAGAAAGCTGCAACTATCCCTATCAGGGCTAATGGAGCTGATTCGTGTTCTATGTTATCCGTTTCAACTATCGGTCCTGATTCACCTGTGAAATCTGGAAGAAATGGAATGTCGGTGTGGCTTGACGGGCTTAGAAAAAGCAATGTTGTCTCTATGTCTGGAATACCCGAGTATTCGTACAAGTAGGTTTCTTTTTTAAAGTTATTGTACTTATGCATCATAGACGCATAGTAGTTAATTTTGAGTGGTATCCAATTTTAACAAATACTTTTAGTTAGTTCTATGTGAATTATGAGTCAACAAGATGTGTTTGTAATGGGTTTGTTTTGTTATCGGTGTGATATGATAAACGAGTGAATCACTATTGGAGATTACGTTTGCGATCCACTCGTAAATCGACTTAGTTTTACCTTGTCATGTATCTGTGTCCCAACATAGATAGCTTGATAAGAATTTTCAAGGTATTCCTGTTTTGGAATATGTGGAGTTGTTTGTTTCAGTAAAAGTGAGCATTCTTGATGAGAAACTAGTTGATTTCTCCCAGTTCAATAGTTTTAATATCAGGCAACTAATACCCCTAAAACCAAGCTAATGGCCTGAACGAACGAATGCGTTTGAGTCTTTAATACTTTTCATTCTTGATATAGAAAACTAGTAGTGTAGTCGGGTGGTTTGTGGCATGAATGTGTTCATATTTTGCATGAACTTCTTACTTTGTTCTGTGATAATTCGTTTAAGGTGTTACTCGTACAGGGATTTGCAAAAAGCAACTTATAATTTTACAACACTAATAGGACAAGGAGCCTTTGGTCCAGTTTATAAAGCTCAGATGTCAACTGGCGAGACTGTTGCGGTGAAAGTTCTTGCAACCGATTCCAAGCAAGGGGAGAAAGAGTTCCAGACCGAGGTAGTGACGATCTATGGTTCCAGACCAAACTTATTGTTTAAAATGGCTTTACTGATTGTAGTACTCCTGCCATCAGGGAATACAGAGTCTGTTGCATACCATGCCCATTGTAGTTTCAAAGTAATCCAGAATTGCTCGTAAGATGAGCCTAATGTTTTATACTTTGTTGGACTTGGTAGCTATGAGCCCTCAAAAAGGGGTAAGAATGTTTAATGCTAAGCTGTCTTTCTGATATGATTCTAACATTTGGTGTTAATGAAATTGCAGTCCTTTGTATAACTCGAGAGTTGTACTTCGACAACTTACTAGTGCTCAAGCTCAACGCAAGGGAGGGCGTGCAATTGAGGTCTGTGCAGCAATCGATGTAATTTTTTACCCCTAAGTTCAGTCTCTTTTTGTGTTGAATGTTGATGCCTTGTGTTTGAATATATTGCAGGTGTTGAAAAAGCTTGTTGCTCGCAGAATCCTCTACCATTCTTACTCCATGCAAGTTTATGGTTATGTATCATCACATAAAAGTGGCAGTCATAGCTCATTAACTCTTGTCTAACATTTTCTCGTCAGTTGAGGCTTATTAGAATATTGATGAGAGACCTCGATGACGATTAAGTTACACCATCAATTTGTGAGATCTTTTATTGTGGATAAAATTAGTAGACTCATTGTTATATATGTTTGTATAGATAGGAATTGGTAGAACAATGGGAACTCTTTGATCTAATTCTAATATGATGAAAGTTTTACAGCAAAATTCCTATTATTTACTTTTTTTTACGGCATCACATGTGGTAGTATAAAAAGTGGACATTAAAAGGTGTTTACTATATGTTTTTCATCACTTCTCTAACTATTAATCATCCTTCAAATCTTTCACTTTCTTCGTCTTCAATCTTTTGTTCCTTACAGTTTTCTCTCTTATAAGATAAGCTAAATTCAAAATGAACTTGGGTTAGTCATTTAGTCTCTCAGTTTCATTCACACTGTTGAAGTTAGGTTATGGGCTGTGGGTTTTTCCTAGTTTTTACTTTATTTTCCTAATTTAGAGGCTCAAATTATTTTATATAATATTTTTTTTATATAAATTAAACTATATAATTTATTTAAATTAAACTATATTAATTTTTCTTTGCATTATTAATAATGTTTTATCTAATTTATATTTAAATAAATTTATTAATTTTATTAAATAATTTTATATAATATGTCTATTTATTAATTTAATTATCATAATAAATATTTTATTATAACATTTAAAAAAGTAATTATATTAATTTTTTAATTACATCATAAACTAAAAAACTTATAATTTTATTAAAATCTTATAATTTCGTCCATGGTAATATAAAAGTCAAGTAAATATCAGATCAGATCATTAACAAGTCGGATCATTTACAGGTCAGGTTGAAAACAGGTCGGGTAATACCAGTTATTTACCATGTCAATCTCGGGTTCGGGTTCATATCAGTCGGATGCAGTTCGGGTTCGGGTATCATATTTTCGGTTCAATTCAGGTTCAGGTAGGATGCAGGTCGGGTTCGGATCCACAATTTCCAGGTCTAAATCGGGTTCAGGTCAACACCAGTTCCGACTCGAGTCGGTTTCGGATCGTCACAATGCAGGTCAAAAACAATTTTAACTCGGGTCGGTTTCAGTCAATTTTGCGGGTCAGGTCAGCTTTTTACAGCCCTAGCTATGATTTTGTGTTTCGTATGTTGGTTATTTTGAAGTCGTGAGACCTCAGGAACGTTGGAATGGATAATGGATCTGCTGACCTCTTGAGATCACCCCTGCTGAAGCTTCCGATGTAAACCTCCTGCCGCCGCAGATTCAACATCACATGACGCACCATCGTCTCCTCAGCCATATGCTGCCTCACAAGGGGACACCAACAGGAAATGCTGGGACTTCACCAACTGCACAACATGTTTTGCTTTTGGAGCAATTACAAATTGCATCGTCTACACATCTAAAAATGCTGAGGAAACTGCACAGGTCGAGTCTCGGCATGCTGTTTCAAAGAACAAATGGAGATTCCATTGCAGGTTATATATTCTATTTTCTTTTCCGTAGAGATGATCCTCTAACCTCTCTATGTATCTATCTTTTGCAAAAACGAGGAATTTGATATATGGTATATCTTGCAACAGCTTTTTTACAATGATATGATTTCAATACTTATGAAGTTAACTCTGCACCTTTACTTCAGGAAGGAGGATTTGACATACATCACCGAGAACATAATTGCTATGGGGTACATGAGCTCTGCACCTTTATGATAGAAACCCTGTCTCACAATTACAGAAATTTCAAATCTCATCACGTGTAAATATTAAACAATGTGTGATTCTCTCCAGATTTATTATTGTTTAAATCTCGTGATATGTGGGTCACGTCCCAAATTATTATGAGTTAGGTTAGTTTTTATAGTGTTTTGTAATTGTTTATTTGCTTGTAATAATTAGGACTTTAATTTTATTTTAGTCACTAATCAGTATTAATTAATTAATCGGTTCATTATTAATAATTATATTAAATTATATATATGCAATAATCTTTAAAAAAATATATATATACTTGAAAAGTCAGCAATAAAAAGTCAAAATATGTCAATTTTTTATTTGTTAAATTGGCGTTTGACATGGTTCTTGTCCCCATAGAGAACGTGGACGAAAAGAGTTTTGAAGTTATCGTGGAATACCCATTCTTTCTCTGAGTTGGAGCCTCCCTCAAACCAAACCTTATCTCTTTGTTATGAAACTTTTTTTCTATTAATAAAATAAATTAAGATATTGAATCGAATCGATTAAGTAAATTGAAAATTAATAAATTTTGTTCGGTCTATATGATATATTTCTCATATTTGATGACGACTTCAATATGTTTGTATCTGTAATATATGGTAACTTGTAACCGAGAAGGTTGAACCTGTATTTTTATTAAAAGAAATTAGTATTGTGATATTGTATTATAGTAATATCTGTTTTGTTTTTAATTTCAATAAATTAATGTACACCATACAAATAATTTAAATGAAACATATCATCATTTTGTCATTGGTATAAAAAAAACATATTATACTTTATTAATCTTTGCGTTATTGGTTCAAATTTAGTTCTTAGCATAGGATTCTTTTGTAGGAGCATATATACTAATTCCTACAAATGAATTGATATGAGTGCGATAATATACAGTTGTTTAAATATTATGTTTTTAATATGAATCAAACGATCCCAATAATAAAAAACTATTATTATTTTTAAGATTTTAGATTCGACTATTTTAAATATTAAAAGTGTCAGCGTTTAATGTCAAATATTATTATAAATGAAAAGCGTTTGAATATATTCTAATTAATTTGATTATACTCTATAATAATTAATTGTTACAATAATTATTTATATATCATTTACGAAGCTATTATAATTGTAAACACACATAAAATTAAAAGAATGAATCCATGGATAAATTTATTTACCTCCGAAGCTTTGTTCGGGTCTTAACGTTGACCGAGTTTGGCGTCGTTGTCAAAGAAATAACTTAAGAAGAAATTAATGGAATTTTGAGTCATATAATAACCTTTTTAATTACACAGCCGCCATTGCCAACTAGAAATACTTGCAAACTCAGATTTTTTTTATCCAAACAAAACGAGATGTTTAAAGAAATACAGTCTAATAACCTTTTTCATTACACAGCCGCCATTGCTAACTAGAAAAAGTGTTATTAAAAAATTTAATATTTTTTTAATATTTTATATAGAGTATTATTATAAATATTAATAATTTTTAAATATTTTTGATAGAGTATTATTTAAAATAGAGAAAATCGCCTCAGTGACCAAAAAAAAGTTATAATATACGATTTTAACCAACTTTTTTTGGATTTGCCAAAATGACCAACAAAATCGCAACGCGAAATAAAAATCGCAACGCGATCCCCAGAATCGCAAATCAGTTTCCAGAATCGCAAATCAGTTTCCAAAATCGCAACGCGATTCTTGAAAATCGCGATGCGATAGTACAAATTCGCATTGCGATTTTCCATAATCGCAACGCGAATATGAAAATCGCAACGCGAACACATAAATCGCAACGCGTATCCGTAAATCGCAACGTGTATCCGTAAATCGCAACGCGTATGGGTAAATCGCAATGCGTATCCGTATATCGCAACGCGTATCCGTAAATCGCAACGATAATACATAAAATCGCAACGCGTATCCGTAAATCGCAACGCGATATTTAAAGCGCCATTATAATCGCTACGCGTATTTTATTTTCAAATTACAAAAAGAATATTAAGACAAAATCCCGTAATCGCAACTCATAACCTAAAACCTAAAATCACAACTCAGTCCCATCTCCATCTCTCACTCTCTACGGCGAAGAAATCCGTCCCCATCTCCGAAGATTTCCGTCCCCATCTCCGGCGAAATCCCTCACAACCATTCACGGTCAGAAATCCCTCACAATATTCAGAAATGGAAAATCAACCTCCGAGGGTTAGTTTTTTTAATTATTTTTATTTTGAAATGTTTGCATTATTGTAGGTTTTTCATATTGAAACTGATGATAAGTTTACTGGTCATTTCAATAATAGATTAACCATTTCACTTAGATTTCATTTCGCGTTACGATTCTGTCGTTGCGATTTTCATTTCGCGTTGCTATTCTCTCGTTGCGATTTTCAAGTTAGTATTTGTCTTTGTCTTTGTTCTGTCTTTTGGTTGAAGTAATGCAATCCATTCAAGTTTCAATTTGCAGAAGAGTCGCAACGAGATAAATGAAAATCGCAACGAGAGAATGACTGTCGCAACGAGAGAATCGCAACGAGAGAATCGCAACGCGAAACCAAAATCGCATTGCGATTTTCATTTCGCGTTGCGATTCTCTCGTTGCGATTTTCATTTCGCGTTGCGATTCTCTCGTTGCGATTGTCATCTCGCGTTGCGATTCTCTCGTTGCGATTTTCATTTCAACCAAAATACAAAACAGTGTTGCAAATTTTAGTTTCAAGAATAAACTACTACTTTTTATGTTTATTGTTTTTGGTATATCTTCACAGTGTAGTTTTTGGTATATCTAACTTGGTATGTTTATTGTTTTTGTAGAAATTTTTTTCGGCTCAATTGACCTTGAGAA